CTTTTTATCTAGCAGTTCTGCCACCACCACGGGAGCCCTCCATCCCCGTTCAACAATAAGCTTTAGCAAAGATTTAATTTATTTTCCGTATTGAGTTCTTAAAATGAACGCAGTGCCAGATTTTAAAACTGAATTAGTCTGTTTGGGGAAACACTGTAACCCATTGCAAAGAGTGACGGACTTGTTTGCCGTTATTTCCCAAACGCAGTCAGTCGTATGCTGCAACTCACCCGTCAGTTCCCTTTCCCTCCTAACAAAGAGGGAAGACTGGATCAGAAGGGATCATCTCCATAGAAATTGTGTTGGCACAACCTAGACTGGGCATAAATAAGGGTACAGACCAAGAAAATGAGAGCAATTAACTCTTTCAGGCTCTCAAATCACAAAATGCAGTCTTCTACATTCGGCTTCTCAGTAATGTGATGTGTAAAAGACCCCAGTTCCTAGTGATGGTCTCAGTGACATAAAATTGCTCCATTTGCCTTGGTCAGGGATGATTCTTGTCTTCCTTATGATTTTTAAGCTAGAACGTAGCATCTTCCTTATTGTAAAAATTCCAGGTATTAGGGGAACTGAGGATTTCCAAGCACAGATGGCCAGATCTGCAGAATTTGGATCATTTCAGGGTGCTTGAAGCCTGGGAAAGTTGATTTGGCCCTCTGCAATGACAGGGACTACTTGCCAAGTTCCAGTCTAGCTCTGAACTCCTGCAGTATTCTGAGATGCCAATAGCTAGGATTTCTTATTTAGAGATCTGTGTGCTTTCCACTGCAGGGTAAAATGGCAAATAGTGTCTTGTATTTCACAGAACCAGGATATTTCAGAGAAAAACTGATCAGGGGACAGCGTGAGCTAGCAATTACCCATGCAGCTCGTATCCTTTGGTTCATTAACTGGGCACCTGAGGATGATCTCCCTCTCCTTCATCTAGCGAAGTCTTGATAGCCAACACAAAAATGAGCCCTCCCATGTAATCTGTGGCTGCCTTTGCAAGCCTTTGCTGGGCTGTGCTTAACCAGCTGCCTGGTTTTAGTTTCCTCACCCTCTCTTTGGCTTCCCTCTGACAAGGAAAGCATTTTCATGGTTTCCCAGCAGCTCCCTCCTGGGATGCCTGCGCTTGCTCTGAACCAAGATTGGCAGAGGATCTCCTCAAGGCTGGAGGCTTTCTGGAGCGGATGAACCAGGGACCTTGACACACTCCTCATTTCAGACATTGCAGTTTGCCCTGCTTACCGTGCCATGGTCTTAGCAACCTCCCAAATACACGGACAATTAGTAAGTGCTGTGGGGCAGCCAGTTCCTTAAGAAATGACCTGAATGTCAGGTATTTTGACCTGAAAATGCTTCTGGTATGTTGGTTTGGTAATGTGGATAGACATGAACCTGGAGATGCAATTTGTTTGCAGTAAAAACTGAGAAAATCTTACACCTAAATGACTATTAGTTACATAGATGCAACTTCATGACCTTCCACAGGCCTCCCTTACACCTGGTGGTGATGTGGCCCAGCAAATGCAACTCCAGTTGTATAAAAAGACATGGAGTTTTAATTGCTGTTGCAGATCTGAAGTATTTATTTGGTTGTTACAGTGTAGCTAAAGCTGGATTCAGGCTCCAGCTCAGCTCTACAGCGTCTTGAGGCTGAATCAGGGAAGATTCTGAAAATAAATGACCTCAGATAAAAACATATTTTTAACACGCTCCTTCTTCAAAATCAGAGAATTCTTGCATGATTTTGCGATCCAAATAAGCTACCATCTTACTGCCAGCTGCACCAATTCTAAGCCAAAAAGAGACCATTTATTCTGAAATGCAGACAATAATGTAAATCAAAGGTTCACTCAACCTCAGAATTTTAAGATACATATGAAACAGCAGAAATAGCAAAGGACTAGAGTAAAACAATGAACAAATGAGACTTGCATTTTGAGGAAATGTATAAGAACAGATTAGTTATATATAATGCTAATGATTATACAGTTTGAAAAGGAAGTGATCCAAGAAAGAGTGATAGATTGTAATTAAAAGAATAGAGAATGGTATCTGGACACTACCATTAACAAGGGCAAATTGATAACAGGAACAAATGTGAACCACATCAAAACAAGCGTTGTTCTACATTCACCTGACTTGTGGAACTCCCTGTTGCAGGACACCAGCATGGCAGGTCTTTCCAGGAAATGATTAAACATCATAAATGAAAGTACTTTCTAGCTCACGTTGGCTACATTTAATTTAAAGGGCTGTCTATGCCTCAGACATAACATGCCTCTTGCAGGGAATTATTCCTTGTCTGATAGACTATTGCAAAATAACATTCATTATCTTAACCGGTGCTGGAGGTAGGACACCGGATTAGATAAATCATTATATCCATTTTGCAAGAGGGCTGGCAGTTTCATTAATAAATAATTCGAACTAAGGGGAAAAGAAAACCTTCAGAGGACTACAGTGTTAAGCACAGCCTGGCCGCAGCAGAGAGGTTCGGTGGTTCACCTCTCGATATGGGGCAACATAAACTTTTGGAAAGAAATATAAACAATGGCAATGAGCTTGCAATTTATATTTTATTTTGCACAAGCTTGCATATATACTGCACATACATTCAGTTTAGAGAAGATGGAAGGCACACAAGGCAATTGAACTACTGTATCCTTTAAGTGGTACAAAGCAAAAAGGTAAAAGTCTGGAGAGTATACAAAAGCTTTAAACACACAAAATAAAATCCACCCCCCCCAAACATTTTTCCTGTGTTTATCTTAAATTTAGTAGCTGCCAAGCTAGAATTGTAACTTTTTTCAATCAATTGTCTACTGCACCTTTTTTTCCAAACGGACAGGGGAGTCTTATTGTTTTATCTTGTCATCAATTAATATTACAGTACATCCTTGGTAATACAAAATTGTACACCTTCATCAAATAAATTAGGATAAATTAAACCAATAAATTATGCAAAGTCTTCAGAACAATAGACAACAACAAAAAAATCCACAGTTGAAATTGCCTCTAGCTAAAAAATAAAATAAAAAAAAATCAAAAATTGACTTTATCAGTTCAGTTATTGTACTATCTTCAAATTAAAGGGTCTTTATTACAAAAAAAGAGCTTAATAATGCTATTTACAACATATTGCTAAATAATATAAAGGCAGTGTTTTGTCACTTTTGTAACTATATACATATGAGTAATGGCTGGGACAATATCAGTTTAAACCTTAACCTTTGACTCTTCTGGGCAGCATTAAAACCAACCTAAAGAGGCTTCCCCCCCCCCCCTTCTTTTTACGTTTCTGACTCTTGCACGTTATATGGTAATGAGATGGTTATTGTTTTTGTCCAATATCTCACTCGAGTGGTACAATTAATGCAGAAAGGATGGATTTTAGAGAAAAATGTAAGCTCGCTGTTTCTTCTAGATTTGTTTCTACATATCCCAGTATATTTGTGCATTTGGAAGGTGGCTGCTTTGGGAGAGAGGTGACTGTGGCTCAGATGAAAAGACTAAATGAAGTCATAGTGCCACCACCTTTCATACACTAAAAAGGATATTCCTAAGAAGATACAAAGGTTAAATACCAGTTTTCATCCCAGCTCTAAATATGAGCATTTTTAGCTTCAGTTTATAGATGGTTTACAACCAACAGTTCTACAGAAAACAAAATTGCATTTCCTTCAACAGAACATTTAAGTGCAATACAGTAACTGCTTACTCATATAAACCAGTTACATTCCTTAAGGGGAGCTTTTTGAAAACAATGCGTATTGGAATTTTCAAACACATAGTTGGTACCAGAAGGAAACATTTGCACTATTAACACCAATGATTGCTATATAATACACATGGCAAATATAGTTTTTGCTTTCACTTCTCATGTACAGTGCTCATTTTGGGGGTTTTGTAAACCACTTTCCATTTTTAATATATATATATATCTTTCTGTATATATATATATGTATAATCTTTCAATGCTGCTGGTGAAAATCCTATCTTTAAAGCCACAAAATCTTCACCTTTATTTCTTAATTAATATTAACCTGTGGAAAAAAACACTTTTCTATTAACTGACTTCATATACATAGAAAAAAATTCTGCCATTTTACAGAAACTGTATTACCCATTCCCTTGACATCTGATGAAAGAGACTTAACTTTTAAAAGTAGAGCGCTGGATTTTCAAGAATGCTTTCAACTATCTATACAGTTACTGTAGTGTTTCTTATAAATTCAACAGATGTTTTCAGAATGTAGTTATTAAAATCTTATGTCTTTATGCAAGAACAGCCATAAGGTTGAATATTTACATTGCTTTATAAAAGTTCCCCTCGATTTTCAATGTTCACCCACATACCTGGTACAGTAACAAAGATTCTGCAAACTTAAAACACTTTAATTAAATAATAGTTACTGTAGTGTTTCTTATAAATTCAACAGATGTTTTCAGAATGTAGTTATTAAAATCTTATGTCTTTATGCAAGAACAGCCATAAGGTTGAATATTTACATTGCTTTATAAAAGTTCCCCTCGATTTTCAATGTTCACCCACATACCTGGTACAGTAACAAAGATTCTGCAAACTTAAAACACTTTAATTAAATAATACTCAGAGGCACAAAGCAAACCTCAGGATTACATGGGTGAACACCTTCTTAAATAATTACTACATTCTAACATCTTCCACGTGTTTACCATTAAATGTGAAACGTTCCCATTAAACAACCAGAGATACAGTAAGAATTAAATGTTTTGTAGTTTCAAATAGAACATTCTTTTCACAAAACATAACAAATGTCTAAAATAGGTTCTTAATCTAGATAGGAAAAAGGTAAGCTTTTCACTTCATACGCATATTTTGTGTGTGTGTGTGTTTCTGTGTATATATACATACATACACCCACACAGTTTGTGTGTGTGACTATATATGTATATGTATATGCACATGTCACGTATGAAATATTGCTTCTATACTACTTTTCATCAGGCTAAGAAAACACAAGATTTGCACCACAGTTACAAAAAATTGGCTTCTACAAGAATTTTCAAAACTTGAATGCTGCTCAAACAATTGAGAAAAAATAATTTGCGTTATCAAACTGTTCTAAAAATTCTCTTCTTCAAAAACGTATTCTCCTGCTTTGTTTTTTTTTTTTTTAATTTTTAAAAAGACACAAAATATGCATAGCTATCAACATTATGTCAAACAGCCGGAAAAAAAAAAATCAGTGTTTATTGCAGCTGTAGTAATTGAAAAATAAAGTTTAAAAGATGAAAATTGTAAGCCACAGAAGGCACAAGAACAATTGTACTTGTGGGGGAAAAACTGGTATTTTGAAGGATTTTTTTTATCCTTCCGCTGGTGCATTTAAGGTCTAGGCACAGACTATAACCTCAAGTTTATATGCAGAAATAAATCTGAATTAGCAGTAAATGAATGGCAACATGGGGGTTTCTACATGGATTTTGAAACTCTTTCCCTATGTAAACTTTTCATTACAATAAAAGTAGCCTCCTGCCTTTTAGCCATTTTTAGTGACATAATATTGAGATCATTTGAAAGAAACTGCTTTCTACTTAAAATTTAGTAGGAGCTATGCTATGTATTTATAATTTTAGGTGTATTGGGAGGCACAAAGGCAATATGGCTATAAAATGCAGAAAAATCACATCACTGAAATGATCAAATTATCATTTATTCCTTTTTCAGATGAAGGAGTTTTTTATTTTGCTTTTAAGATGAAATTTCTACTCTTAATTCCTATGCCTCATTTGCTATTGAGATTATTCTACTTATAAATAAATAAATAAATGCAACAACATCAAGTGTTGAGTACACAATTTCACTTATTTAGATTATGTGAATCACATTGCAGCCAAATAATAATAATAATAACATTAATATTAATAATAATAATAACAACAAAACAACATAATAAAAGTAACGGTAAAATCACAGATTGAGATGGTAGCTAGTAGTATGTCCACATAGTATGACTAAAGTATGGCTTTGCTTTCTTATGTCCAAGATGACAATGCAGTGTTATATTTTGTATCTGATGGTATGCCAATGATGAGCTTACTGTATTAAAACTTGAGCATTTTATGCCACTTCTTCCCATAAATCAAAAAAGTGCATGAACACAATTTTCATCCTTTCTTACTCAGAATTCATTGGAGTTACATCTTTATGAAGTGTAATGTTTACCAAATCATGCACACACACACAAAAAAAAAAAAAAGAACACAAAAGGAAACGAAAGAAAATGGAAGAAAAGAAAAGAAAGAAAAAGACACATCCTGTCTACTGTAGGGATACGTACAGTATTAGGTACTCTCAGGGAGTCTAAGATCAAGAAGATTTGTTTTGCTTTTAATGCATAGTGAAAATGTTGGCACTTCATCCCATGCTATTGTCTGCATTGCCTATACTCCACAGATACTGCCAGTGCTTGAAAAGAATGACAGGGAATCGTAGGATTGTGCTGTTTAATTTGAAGTCAGCAGGTTTTTAAGGCTTTCTGCTAACAATAATTGCTTTCATACATTTCTGTCTATCAGCAGTATTTGTAAATGAAGTGAAATTGCAATGATCAGGTCAGCTCTTTAGTCACATGGGTAAACTTTCACTCTCCAAAGTCAAAATGTAATTTTAAAATAAAGAAATAAGATACCAATATCCTCGATGGTCTAAATATAATTCACAGCTAATTAGGAACTTCCTCTAGATTCAGACTGAATTATGTAGGGGAAAATACTATTGACGATAACAATAAATTCTTACTGCATCCGTACAAAAGACGACAGAGAAAATGACAAATACAGAGTGCCATAGCATATTCAACCTTCCCCCAAACTTCTGGAGACGATACCTTTCTGAAAACGTGAGAAAAGGAGAGCCACTGAAGAAAGCACGAGAACTAGCAGCTAGCTTTCTTTCCGTCTGCTGACATATCGTGGTATAGCATTCAGGCGAACCCAGATCCATCATGGACTTTACACTGTAGCTCAGATTTTGGTCAAGACTAGCTCCAGCTTCAGAAGACAAGTGCAGCGCATTGCTCAAACAGATTTTTTTTTTTAAAGCTGCACTTACTGTAATTTTAAAAATCCAATTTGGCTATCTGAACCCTGCATAGCCAGGAGGACACTGCGATTTTTGTATATGCTTGATTAGATTTTTATGAAAATGTAATTTTTATTCTTCTGATTAGGAAAAGACTAATTATATTTTACAGCTACAAACAAGGTTTTTTTTTTTCCTTTGCCTCAGCACTATGAGGTGAAGACACTTTCTTCTACTATATCTAAGATCATTCAAAAGTGCTTTTCGAATACAGACAGAAAACTTTGTATACTGGAAAGGGGATTTTTGGGAGCAGAATGGACTAAGAAAAGAATAAATTTAGGGACTAATGCCACTTAAAGTAAGACCGAGACATGGCCATATAGGACGCTGAAGGTTTCATTTTTACTCTATGGAGAGTGAAATGCTTCCGCTTTAATAAGCTGACCGTATTCCAAAATTAGTGTGGTTGATACAATATTGTGCATGAATTACTGGCCTCACCCTGCAAGAACGGTATTTTATTTGTGCAAACGTCCCTTGCTGCAATTTAGAGAAACAACAATCTGGCATGTTGATTACTGGTGCAGGGTATTTATTGTTTCTGTAAGGAAAGCATGAAGAATAGGGTTTGCTTTTTTGGGTATCACTTCTTGGAGTGAGTACCTAGAATAGATGTTGTAGTTTTTTGAAGTATGAAACAAAATCTAGTTATTGGTTAAAAAGTATATAAAACAAAAAGAAAAGCTCGAAGCTTATGAAGTGACTCCACAGAGTTCAGACCTTTAGCAGTATAAACATAATATGAACTTCATTGTCTGTAGTATTGTGCCATGACATTAGTCTCACTAAGACAAAATGCCACTTTGCAGCAAGCAATAAATCTGACGAAGCATTTTTAAACATAATGCCCTAACTTGCTAAGACAGGCTTTTACACGCTTCCAAACTCTTCTCCCTGAAAATTAACCCCGTAGATTCTCCAAATGTTAAGGGTCTTGGGCAAAAGTAAACCGAAGGCTGAAGTAAAATAACCATCCCCTTGGAACTGAACGAAAACTTAAATCCAGGAGGGATCACAGTCTAATTTCATATACATATATATGTATGCGATACACATATATATGAAATTAAAATAGAGACACACATGACTTGGGCATCAGAAGGGGACTGCTACTTTCATACATTCATAAATAGCTGCTGAACTCTACTCATGAAGAAGCTCTTGTAGGCAGTTTGGGGATTTGAAAATCTCGGGGACCTCACTGTCCAGCTTACAGATGACCTTGTATATGGCCTTCTTCCAGGAAGGATCAACATCTTTGCCTGCGATAATGGCATTGAAAAACTCCCGTAACGTGATCTGAGCCACTTCCAGGAATCTCTCTGGAACCTGCTGATACAAGGAGACAATGGCATTAATACAGTTTTCAATTTCAAGTCTCTGGTTCTTCAAAGGAAACTGAGCTAAGTTCTTTCTTTCAGAAAGGGGCTTACATAGCACCTGCATTTTCTAAATGTGGCAGCTTCTATTCTCTTATGCAAAGCTGTTATATATAGTACTATAGCAATAACTTTTATAACATGTGTTGGAGATCTTTGTAAAGTCTACTGACAGAATGTAGGTAACAAAATGTTACTGTCTGAATTTGGAGAGTGGGGGATTTATAGGATATAATTAGCAGGAGGGGAAACAAACACAATTGTCTTTAAGGAGAGAAATCTCTGCTTGATGTTTTACCCATGCATTTACAGCTATGTTCTCCTCTCCGTGTGGGAACTGATATGAAAGTTATGCATGCATAGAAAAGCCTCTGTACCTCTGCACTTAACTGTGGTTACAACCAGTGCTGAAAGCTATCAAAGAAATAGGGTATCTCCAAATGTTGTTCGTAGTTTAAAAACAAGTAAGCAAGCAAGCCTTCAGCTAACAGCTTGCTTCTGTGGCTGCTGTGCATGACACCCCCATAAGATGGCTTTCTCGGGAGACGTTATGGTCTTCCCTTCTTTTTCAGAAGCCTACAAATAAAACCCCAACCTCTTCAATGGGCGCATTGTGCTCCAAGTGGCTACTGAGCTGGGATGCATCAAACTCATCCGGGTTTTCTAAATGTCACTGTCACTTCACGAGTGAGCCAAACGGCCAGCTAGCAGGGGCGTGCCACTCTCAGAAGCCCCTGAACAATGGGTAAATGTTAAAAACCACAGTTACCTTCAAACTTTGGTAATTCATCCTAAATAGTTGTCTCTGGCAACAGCACCACCTTCTTACCCTCTGCCTTAAATGATTCGAAAGCAATCACTATAATGAACCATAGGTCAGTTGCAAGGTTGAGGTCATCTCCATAAAGGTATTATTTTCCATTTTTTATTACGGAAATATGGCTTCACAGCTCTAGAACTGCTAATACACGGCCGGCGAGTAGCCAGCATGCTTATAATAGCAAGTATTCCCTCACTGCTATTCTTTGCCCACTCTGGCAAGAGGAGTTTTCCAACCTGCAGTAGAGGCTACTTCAACCAGTCCTGTGGCCAACAGACACCCGGGCAGATCTCACTCATTTACTCAATGCATGTCACATCACCAGATCAGGGCCAGCACCTTATCCTCTACTTCAGGCTTTTGTTCTTCTCCCTTTAGAAGCCCCTTTCAGAAAACTTGTCTGGAAATGTGCGGGTTTAACCTGATTCAGTAGAGCTCTGGAGCCTCACTCACCTATCACCGTTGGGGAAACGCTAGCAGTTTGCTAGCCACATTTTGCCATCAGATAAGCATGAGATCAGCTCCCCCTGACACCAGCTGACAAACTCTGCTTCCAGAAGCCCCGCAGCCCGCAGAAGTCCTCTATCTACCTCCGAGAGTAAAATCCAGCCCCCACACGATTTTCCCTGCTCCCAAAGACAGGCTGCCTTCTGTGGAAATTTTTCATTCAATGGGCCGCACAGAAAGAAACATTTTTACAGATGTTCTATGGCAGGAATAATTATGAGGGAAGAAAATAATTCTTATGTTTCACTTATTCCAGCTCAAAGAAATAACTTAAAACTCCATGTAACCACTCTGCTGTTTGTGCACTTTG